AGTATCAAAGTCACAACTAACAACGAAGCAGAAGCAGGAATTGCGTGGTCTTTTGACCGAGTTTCAGGACAGATTTGTAAGCGAGCCAGGCCGGACATCCGTCCTCACTCATGACATAGAGCTTACCTCGTCGGAACCGGTAAAATCTAAGACGTATCGGGTGTCACCTCGCCGGCTTGAGCTAATAAAAGCAGAGGTTAACAGGATGCTGGAATTGGGTGTGATTGAGCCGTGTGAAAGTGATTACACTTCCCCGTTAATTCTCGTGGAGGTACCCGGCAAAGATCCGCGTCCTTGCGTAGACTATCGTAAGTTAAACCTCATCACCAAGAATCAGACATACCCAATTCCCCACATTGAGGAACGCGTCGAGAGGGTAAGCAGCGCGCAATTTATCTCAACGCTAGACCTAGTGAGAGGTTACTGGCAGGTGCCGCTCACCGAGAGGGCGAGCCGGTATGCTGCATTTATTTCACCATTGGGGACATTCCGCCCTAAAGTGTTGAGTTTCGGCCTAAAGAACGCGCCTTACTGTTTTTCCAACTTAATGGATAAGGTTTTGCGTGGTCAAGAGGACTTCGCATTGCCTTACTTGGACGACGTCGCCGTGTTTTCCTCGTCCTGGCCAGAACACTCGACGCATTTGAGAGCAGTACTGACACGCCTACGCGAAGCAGGTTTAACGGTAAAGGCGCCCAAGTGTCAGCTAGCACAAGCAGAGGTACTCTATCTCGGGCATGTTATCGGTCGAGGGCATCGCCGTCCCTCTGAAATGAAAGTGGCAGCTATCCGAGACTTTCCCCAGCCCCGAACGAAAACCGATATTCGGGCTTTTCTTGGAATAGCTGGTTACTATCGTAAGTACATCCCTAGATATTCCGACATTGCCAGCACTCTTACTGACGCGTTACGCAAGACCGAGCCCCAAATGGTCGACTGGGATGAGGAGAAAGAAAAGGCTTTCCGCGTTTTGAAAGCGGCCTTGTCGAGCCAACCTTTGCTTAGTTCACCGGACTACTCGAGGCCTTTCATAGTCCAATGCGACGCTAGTAATAGAGGCATGGGGGCAGTTCTTAGTCAAAGGGATGAGGGGGATCAAGAGCATCCCGTCCTACATGTTAGCCGGAAACTCACCCTTCGCGAGCAGGTTTACAGCGCTAGCGAAAAGGAATGTGCGTGCTTGGTTTGGGCAGTCCAGAAACTGGCTTGTTATATTGCCGGAAGCAAGTTCATTGTGGAAGTGGACCACTGTCCTCTCACCTGGCTACAGACCATGTCCTCTAAGAACGGCCGCCTGCTGCGTTGGAGCCTCGTTTTGCAACAATATACGTTTGAAATACGCTACAAAAAGGGTGTACTCCATGGCAACGCTGATGGCTTAAGTCGATGCCCCTGACGCGAGAGGATGTCTCGAGAACTCTGGCATTTTTTTTCCTGACCTAGACAAGAGCTAGTGATTGTTTTTTTTACTCTTTTAGGTGTACTTGTTTGAAAACGTTGAAGACACGGCTATCCAGGGTTTCGGGTTCGGTGTGCTTCCAGTGTTGTTGTTTTGTGTCACCTTAAAGTGTGAGTAACATTTTGAATAAATTGTGTATTTCCTTTAATATCAGTTAAAGGGGAAAATTGCCTGGTGGAGTTTGGCGGAATTGTCCGGCGCTCACCGGCTGAGTAGTTGTGTTTTCATGTGCGTATGTGATGTCTGTTGAGCCCTCAATGAAGCAGGTGTTGCCCTCTACTTCATCAAAGACGGTCGTCACCAAACCGACTGCCGGCGCTGATCTCTCCGGACAGTGGCTGCAAACCTCAGCCCATCGAGATCTTCACCCCCCCCCCCCCCCGCGCGAGAGACTGTTACGACCGGCCCTGGGGAGCCAAGCAGGAAGAGTTTGGGGGAGAACCGGTTCTTGACCGACGGTGTCGTCCACCCCCACCTCCCCATTCGTGTTCCTCCTCGCCGGGAGAGCTCCGGGGTCTGCTGTGCGTTCGTGACCATGTTTGGTAACATTTTAGGGCGCCGTGACCATATATGGACCTCGTGTTAGGTTGTGCCACTCCATGTGTTGTGAGGTGTGTTTCCCCCTCTCTCGTGGCCGAGGTGCCGGAGACACCGTAATGGCTGACGATGCGGACGGGGCGCCCAGTGTCAACGGCACGGCGCTATAAAATGCCGAAGACGTTTTGTATCGCACGCACTCTTCTCTCTTTGGGTCAGTTGACCACTTCTCCACATGTAAATAAATCTCTGTTGTTCGTTCGGGCGCTTCTTCTCGCTGAATTGTTGGACGATGGATCCTGCGACGGGGCCAGCTACCGAAAACGAGACCGGCAGGACCCGGAGTCCCAACACTCTATAGACTGTCGTCTTTAAAAAGCTGCCCGCACTCCGCACCCTGCTCGTTGGGATCCGCCAACGTGCGCTTATCTTTCACGCGTACTTTGCCCCGCAGATGGGGAAGAGAAGAGGATGAGGGGGTCAGGTGCTTGTGCGCGCACCTAATCATGTGCCTTGACCTTTCACCGGAACGATTGCGTTAGTTGCCTCGGTCACGAAAGTCGCTTTGCTCAATCGAGCTGGGCAGGTCTTTATGGGCAGGCCCCGTTTGCGAATAGAGCGCGCTTTTCAAACTCAGCGAAGTAACAACTGGGACACTTGTTAGTTCACCCTCATATCTGTACCTGTGATTACGTTTTGAGCACCGTTTTTTTTCAACAGCACGTTAAGTGCCGATGTTTAAACGTTGTTAATTAGGCCTCCTCCTGTGTGTGTTATTTTCGTGCGTCGTTTGTACGTGAGCAGCGCGCTGCACGTTTTGATCTGCCAGCCGTTCCCAGCGTTACACTCCAAGTAGTTGATATCGTATTCATTGCTTCGCCCTTGCGGCGACACTGTGACTTTTTTGCTTGGCTGGAGATGAATGACGAAAAAAGCATCGATAATATTCTTGGCAAAAAATTTAAGAGTTGCCTTTGCTTCTTCTGCCAACGGTGCCCGCGCTCGGGCGTGCGAAAATTGAAAATCAAGTGTGTCATGCTGCTAAGGATGCGTTTGATTCCCGTCCACGGCATGTCGGCGTGAGCGGAACGCAAGAATACGTTCCTGGTTGAATACCGCAAACATATTGGCGCATACTCTTTTGATTTTGACCAACAAGACACCAAATTTGCATCATTAGGTCAAGTTGTACACGTTTGATTTCATTTCGCCTGCACTGAGGTCATTTGTATCGGACGCATCGGCGTATCTATATGGGCAGCGTTTTTGCCGCTTCTTTGGCGTGGTGGTGCACTCGCGCTATGTTGCTCATCTCGGGATTCGGGCATTTCGTGCATCCACCAAAACATTGCGCTATGGTTTGCCAGTGGTTAAATGTAGCACAAACGCCACTTCCCTCACGGCCGCGTTTACAAAAAAGCGCCCTGCTCACACCCGAACAAGCAAGAATTGTGACGGTTGTTTGCTCTCGTCTGTCTGTCTGTCTGTCTGTCTGTCTGTCTGTCTGTCTGTCTGTCTGTCTGTCTGTCTGTCTATCTATCTATCTATCTATCTATCTATCTATCTATCTATCTATCTATCTATCTATCTATCTATCTATCTATCTATCTATCTATCTATCTATCTATCTATCTATCTATCTATCTATCTATCTATCTATCTATCTATCTATCTATCTATCTATCTATCTATCTATCTATCTATCTATCTATCTATCTATCTATCTATCTATCTATCTATCTATCTATCTATCTATCTATCTATCTATCTATCTATCTGATAATGGTATCTATACAAAAATTGGTATGCCTTAACATGACTATAAGACGAGCCCAGCCGACTAGTTATAAAATGATCATGATATGTATGTCATGAATGTCATGATTTAAATTTCATGGTCCTGCTGCTCTTGCGTTGGTTTCGTTCACGTGACATGTTGCAAAACAGGTATTCTTTGACATGACTACATGGCGAACATAAGAGACATATTCGAACATGGAAATCATGACATGCATGTCATGTAAGTCATGACTACACGCCACGCTCATGGTGCACTTCCGGTCGTTTCGTTAGCATTACATATAACACAGTTGGTATTACGAGACGTGAATGGATGACGAAGGTTTATGACCGGTGCAAACATGATAATCATGAGATGCATGTCATGTAAAACATCACTACATGTCACGCTCATCATGCGCTCACGGCCGTTTCGCTAGCTTCATGTATACCAAACTTGGTAATACGGTACGCGAACGGACCATGAAGGTAAATGGCACGTCCAAACACGATAACTACGATATGTGTGTCATGTAATGTGCTACGCTCATAGCGCGCTCGCGGCCGTTTGGCTAGTTCCTAATTTACCAAATTTTGTATCACGTGATTAGAATAGATGACGAAAGTAAATGACAGGTCCAAACATGGTTATCATGACATCCGTGTCATGTAAAATATGACTGCATTCTACGTTGATAGCGTGATTGTGGCTTTTTCACTAGCTCCAGATATATTATATTTGGTATCACGTGACGTGAATAGACGACGAAGGTAAATAACACGTCAAACAAGGTTATCATGACTTGCATGTCATAAGAAACATGACTACATGCCACGCTCAGAACGTGCTCACGGCCGTTTCGCTAGCTGTACATGTACCAAAGTCGGTATCACTAGACGTGAATATAAGACGAAGGCAAATGACACGTCGAAACCTGTTAGTACACCTGTAGGTGTGGTCTGATAATTTTTCGCTGTTTCAATGACGGCTTATCTCGCATATGAAGACACATGCATGCCCCCGGCACTTAATTTTCATCTGATTCGAAAAACGCTCACCAAGTGACGATGAATGTCACCGAAGGGACCACGAAGCTCTCAGACTAATAAGGCGAAAGCTCAGCATAGCTCAAGCTTAGTTAGTGCGTAACTTTATGGAGGCTCGCCGATTTCATGCGTAGAACTGTTTTTTCGGACAGCGTACAGGCTGAAACAAAAAGACAACTGCTTCCAAAATAATTTTATTGCTAAAGCAGTGGTGTAAAATGCGCTTTATTGTCATCTTTAACACGTCTCGATTAATAAATACAGAAATGGCAGTAGGGCCTCGTCATAAATCTTTCAAAGGCAGCAAACAATCATCTTTTTAAAACAAAAACAAGCAGTTTATGCAGCGCGCGTTCTTTTTCAAGGAGACAAAACACACCGTAAACAAAAATAACAAGAAGCAAAGCCACCAGTTCATGCACTATTTTACTTCATTTGCGTTTATTTGAACTGGGCGCACTAAAGACTCAAAACGGCAGTAAAAGCGGTCACAAAGGCAAGCTTTCCCTTTACATGGTACACAGTGACTCGAGCTTGTAAAATATAAAAACATTAGAAATATGCGTTTGGTCTAAAGTACAGCCCGAGCCTTCCGTATCTTAGAGTTGGGGGACTGGCCCCATCATACTTCTGACTTCATTTACCTGCTCGTGGTGTCCCTCTCTACACATACACAAATCCACACTGACGCATACTGCTGAGGAGAAAGCAAATTAATCATGGCAAGCTTTCTAAATGTCACTTTTCGCGATATTCTGAAGTACATGACAAAATATGCACTCTGTGAAACAGTTGTATAGCTCCTATGAGTCGGGCCTTGCATCTTCATCTAGAAAATATATTACAGAAATGGTGTTGCGAAAACCAACCTATGAAGCTCGCCCATTTCGCTGAGGACAGAAAGCATTAGAGCTTACTGGGTAATGTGTAAGTCACTGCCTGAAAAAAAAATGTGCCAGACAACGCTGCTTCATATTTTACAAGATAAATGCACCATCAATAACTAGAAGCGAAAAGCACAAGAATAAAAAAAGAACAACCAGTTAGTCGACCGCGTCTCTTAGAGTTCTCTTGTCATCATTCGCATTGACTGTGCAGTTTGGGATCTCCTGGGTTTGAGTTAAACAAAAGGCATCATCGGGGCACTTTATATATCCTGGCACAGCATCACTGATGGGAAAGCAAGTTGGTGGCAGTGGTGTGCCGCTATGCACAACAAGTTAGCGCTGGCGTGTAGACTTGCAATAAACTCATCGCAACCAGTCGTAGATGTCCTGCTCAGTAATGGACTTAATCTCTTCTCTACCGTCCATGCTGGGCGCCCTTTCCAGACCTCCCGTTCTGACGACCCTCGACGTCTGCATTCTCATGTGGTCCGACGTGATCCTGCTCTGGCTGCCTGGCAAGTCTTCGAAGTACTGCCGAGAAGAGCGCTCGACGAACGTGCGACTGGCTCCTTGGGCTCCGCCTGGTACGAATCTCCCGCTGGGAATGTCGAAAGTAGCGTCACTGCGAGCATCGTCTGTGTCGACTGGTGGCACGGCAGACATCCTCTCGACAACAGGCAGGTATCCGTCGATGGACGCTCGGCCTTCGACGCTGGGAATGTCCTCGAGAAACTCGGATGTAGCGCGGTCGGTAATGCTGAGACCCGTCCGTAGAGTGTCATCACTGGAAATGGACTCACGTTCGAGACGCGAGAAGTCTACGTCGATCTCAGTCATTGACCTCATGTCAAAGTCACCAATCGAGTTCGATCTGTGCGACTCTGGCAAGGACCTCAGATCGGCTGGAATGCCCGCACCTGAGAGCACGTGTGGTAGTGAAGATTTTCGCCTCTGCTCCTGGTTTTTGCGGTAACGCGGTGGTCTTACCTCAGGTGGGAATTCAGCGTGGATGGGCGGGTGGAGGTAGTCTGGGTGTGTGAGCACGCGAATGATAACGTCCCACACGCGGCGTTCAAACATTGCTTCGTACCGGAAGTCTTGGCTGATGCGGACGTACTCCTCAGTCGTCGTAGCCTCATGCACGAGGGTTCGAAATACGTCGTCGACGGTCACGAGCGTCCTCCACTTCGTTTTTACGTCAGGTGTAAGTTCCTCCACGCCTTCAACGGGCGGAGGCGTTATCACCCGGTTCAGTACATCCCACTGGGGTGGTGATGTGGTGCGCAGGCTGAGAGGTGGTTTAGGCTCTGGTGAAAAGCTTGTACGAAGGCGGTGGTCAGCGGTGGTTGTGGCAGTGGCTCGAGTTATTTCTGTTGTATCTTCTTCCAATGTTTGTCTGTCTGTGTACGGAGGCTGCCCAGAAGGCGATCTTGGTGGAAGTGGCGATCCCTCTCCGGATGGCCCCTCGTCTTCAGGTGCGTAGTGCCTGATAGTCACGTCCCAAGAGGGCGGAGTCGTCGGAGATTTAACAAGCTGTTCTGTGGTATCTTTCGTCGTCTTCACGACATGCTCAGTCGCGATCGTCTCATGTTCTGTTGTGACAAACACCTCGTCAATATTTTTGACGGTAATTTTCGGCTTACGTGGAGCTAGCGCCGTTTCGGGAATGGCAGTGATCTCTGACGCAGAAGTATCTGGAGCCTCAGAGGGCAAAGCAAGTGAACGCAACGTGTCCTGGCGGCGCTTTGTCACGTCTTCACGAAGATCTGTGTCATCCTGTTTTGTGACAAGATAGTCTGTGAGAACCTGTGTCGTACGTTTGGGCTTTCGAATGAGGGGCTTCATATCAGCCGCGAATTCGACTTCCGAGTGGGACCAGTCATCGTTGTCAGGAATGCTGCCATACAGCGATGGAGGTCGGGGCTCTTCTTTCTTGCGAACCTTGGTGTACACTGGCGGTTCTACTTTGTAAGCAGTCGGAGGTGCAGCAACTACCCGCGACACAGCGGCGTAGCTCTTCTCTACAGTCTCAGTGTCAAGCTGGTCTTCGCTTTCGGTTATTGCGTGCAGTTGTTGTTGCTTCGCTGAAGTCGGCTTAAGAATCAACTGCGCCTGCTGCAGAGATGATACTGATTCGTCACGTTCCTGATCCATAGGATATGGCTTCGTTTTTGCCCTGGGTATAGAAGGCTTGTAAACTGTCGCAATCTGTACAGAAGACAGTGATTCAGCCCTCTCAGCATCCATCGGGTATGGCTCGCCAGCGAAGGCTTCGTTATCATACTGTTTTTGCACAGGGACTGTCGATACAACGACATGGCGTTGCTCTACGACCTCTTCCGCGTCAGAGGCTGAGGACGGCGACTCACTTGGGTAATCCGATGGTATTGTCTCGGAGCGCTGTGCGGATACAGGAGTAAGCAAAGCCGCTTCTGAACCAGAAGTGGAGGTGGCCATCGCCCTTGGTATGCGAATAGGATCGAACATGGACATTGTCCCCATTGTTGAGCCGCTGAGCTTGGTAATCTCCGAAGCGGGTGCCGATGAAATGCCCTTTTTCTTCTTGACAACCTTGATGTTGCGTTTCTTCAGGCAGTAGTAAGCAATTCCTATGCCCAGCAGTAGAAGCGTCAGGAACAGCAAAGCGCATATGATGAGCAGCAACTCGACTTCGGACAGCTTTGGATGCTTCGTAGCTGGCAAAATTGGTGGTGCTTCGATACTGCGAGAAAAAGAATAAAAGAAATGAATGCTTGCACATTGAGTAGCAAACAACTGAAAGCCGTGTGATACTGCACACAACATTACCATAGCACACAGTACACCAGAAACATTTCGAACCGGTGGAAAAGTTGAGCTAACTCGCACATTTACTTCAGCCTTATTTGCACTGGTTGCACGCACAGGAAGCTGAAATGAAAGCCGCTGTACAGTTTTTATCGCCTCTGCGTGTGGCAGCTATGCTAGATCAGCGGGATATTACATACAAGCATGTCTAGCTGCAAAGGCAATGTTCTTTTTATCCTTGAAGGTATTGCTAAATAATTAGAGTACAGTTTAACTCGCTTAGTATAGAGTGCCTATTACGCCGCACCACAATTTGTGCTTCTAATCATTCCTCCAACACCGTTTCTTTTTCGACTTGTTTTTTTTTTAAACGTTTAGCCGCATGCGCCTTCGTGATTTTTCGTCTAACAGGGATAGTTCTTTTGTTTTGAAGCCGAGAGACCGTACTATGTGCAAACTTTGTAAGCTATAGATACGCGTTGCCTCATCGATAAAGTTGCAGTTGCGACTGTGCACCTGTGTCGTCATTACTTTCTGTGTGTGCCTTTGCTGTATGGCACACCCCTTTTTGCATTTAAAATGATTTTTCGCCTTACAGTTTCGCACATTCACAACCTCTTCAACGAGCGATTGCAAAATTTTCGTAGCGACAGCGTTGCCGCGTTCGCGTCACCACACAAAGTGCAACAGCTTTGACTCGCAAGAGCTAAGACTGCGCAGAGGGTTGCCGCGACAACGTATATATACTGTTTTTGAATAGCTGAAGGTCTCTACGTAGACTTGAAAGAGCCAGAAAAACAGAATAGTGATTGAGAGAAAAAAAGAGTTCCGTTTCAAGAAGAGTGGTGACTCCGTATTTGCACCGGGAGTCACATTCTATGAAAAAGCAGCGAAAAAAAAAAACAGGCATCGAAGCAGTCTTTCAGCCCAAAATATTTATCTAGTACGTGCAAAAAAAGTGAACAGGGAAGACAAACAGCCTCACACGTGTGATAAAAAACAGGATATTAAGTTTGTTGCATGTATGAAACGCGGTCTTTGAGATTCCCCTCTCGTGCCGTTGTTGCTACATCGGCCAAGCTGGCCAGTCAGTAAATGACCGCCTAAAAGAACACCGCAATCCAATGAAGTGTTCCGTCGGAAGTCACCTAGCAGCACACAGTTCCGCATGATGTTGTCATGCTTTGCTTGAACAGTGCAGAAAACTAAGACGCTATGGTGACCAAAGAGCACGTGAAATATACGAGTCCTGTTGCATTGACAACGGAAAACATGAGAACATGAGGTGTTTGTTAGAATGCCGTCGATAGCGCTTCTCACCAAGGAGCTTATCCTTCACGTGGGTGACGCATTTTTCATTTTACATAGCATTGACAAATTGTCACTGTTTTCCTGTCCCTTACAACTTTTATCACACACACACACACACACACACACACACACACACACACACACACACACACACACACACACACAGATATATATATATATATATATATATATATATATATATATATATATATATATATATATATATATATATATATATATATATATATATATATATATATATATAAATTGTCCGTTTGTGTTACTGTCTTGTTTTTTTGCGCTATTTCCCATTTGCTTAACTGGCTTGAATCATTTTTAGGAAGGGTGTTGATTGATAATGAAAACTGGGCATGGAATCTTATGCATTAAACTGTCAGCATTACTTACGACACTCGAAGAGTTTCCCCATGTCTGTTTGTATATTGTACACTAACGTCATTGATTGGCCACATGGAGTTAGGACACTTTTAGAATTCCTACTCACATAGGTGCAATCACATTAGTGGGCGGTGGTGCCAAGGGAGGCGGATAGCGACAGATGATAGTCTTGATTTCATCTTCTTCGAGCTCCAGGGACCGATGGAAGCGTACGATGATATTATTGATGAAAACTCTCGGGGCCTCCTAGAAAAAAAAAGAGCATTGAAGTGATAGAACTATCAGGCCAGATAACAGAAGTCGTTAAGGAAATTATGAAGAGAAGTAGATAACATTAAAGCAAGGTTACATTTTAGGATACAAGCTGCGCTTTATCGTTTCTCGAAAGAGGGCCGTAGTCACAGGGGTAGCACACTGTTGATCTAAGCCCCACTGTTTGTCAAGGTGATCTAGGTCATTCAGTCTGTATCCTATTTAACCGCAACGCATTTCTCTTCAATTTGCAAACAAAAAATATTGCAGATAAGGTCATTCCAATCATGAAACTAAAACGGTCTTAAACATGCATCGCATGCGACCTGTATACGCATGCGCATTAATGCTTTAACGAAACTGTACTCATTATGCTCGTTTCGTGGCGTGTAAGTACCCTTTGCGATTCTGAATAATTCAACTGTCTGCTCGCAAATAACAAAAAAATAAAACGGTACATGTTGAGTCATAACTTTTCCGCTTTACTCACCAACTTGATGAACTGCTTGCCCTCTTACCTAAGCTATTTAATACTCACACTACTGTGCACGTTCCGGCCCATATGGCATCTAAGCCGAGACTATAGCAGATCTGTAACTTGACCTATACCATTCGGTCCTCGGAAAGGTGCCGGGCTAAGCTACATATACACACTAAAGTGAGTGATCCTCGGCACTTATCGAATGTTCTCAGGTAATGTTCAATAAATTAACATGGATTTGGATACCCATTATCATTTTAGGGGCGAAGCTCCCTATGGTGTGGCTTGTGCGTACCCTGTTGTCGTTGTGTGTAACCGCCGGTGGCACATACCCGAGAGAGCGGGTATGTGCCACAGGGATGGGTATGTGCCACATAAGAACGAGAGAGACGATAGCGCTACTACGATCGCGATGAAAAGATGCGAGATGATGGTACTTGGAATGTTCGCTAGTCGGACGGACGGATGGACTCACGGATGGACAGACAGCAAGAGGACGTACGGATGGACTGAAGCGTGGATGCAAGGACGGGTGCACAGCCGGACGCACGGACGGACGGCCGGACGCACGGACGAACGCAGGGACGGACGCATGGACGAACGGATAGATGCACAGACGAATGAATGGACGCACGGACGGACGGAAGCACAGACGGACTGACGGACGCTACTCCCCACTCATCATCATTCACTCCACGGATATGCTGTGATTTTTTAAAATATTATTATTAGTTGTAGTAGTAGTAAAAATCTACGGCGTTTTACATGTCAAAACGACTGTATAATTATGATGCATGCAGTAATAGGAGCCGCCAGATAATTTTGACGAGCTTGATTTTTTTAATGCACACTGACAACTCAAAGGACACAGATGTAGTTTCACCTGGGACAACAACGACGGGCATCGACTCCGTTCTTTTCGACTAACAAACTGATCACGGCCACCACTACACCACCGCAAAGCTAAGACACACCGTTGCCCTCAGGAGATGTATCCTCACTGATTCACAACGGAATACATTCTTCTTAAAGCTCGTGTGCCACTTATTAACTTCTCTCCTGTAGAATTGAAATGCCAGTGCAGAGAACTTTTAACCGAAGCAATACTTTGTACAATTTGGTACGAAACTTGTTATGGGATCACTACAACAGCCGAATTTGGTGCCGTAGTTGTCCACCGCCACCGTTTCCCGCACCAACTGAGAAAAAAATGCATTGTCGAGCGGGATTCGAAGCCAGGTATCCTTCATGGCAGTCAAGTATTCTACCACAGAGTAACCCTTTAAACTGCTTTGAAAAGAAATCCTATGTAGGCTTTATGACAGTCCAACGTCGATTGGTGCTTCTTTGCGGGCTTGGTTCTGGCTGTCGAATATTACATTAAAGTAGATAATAAACGTTCCTTCGCTACTCCAACGACAAAATCGTCACGTGCTCTGAACATCGTCTGTGTTTCCAATGCTAAGTTTTTATAACAGTTCAATAAACATTACATGTACACCTATGACTCAACAAGCTAGACTTTAAGCGTTGTTTGACCCCGAACGAATGGGCAGACGAAAGTTGCGTATGATATTCACATCATTGCACCGTAAAGTGCCCTTCGATTTGCGAAACTGACGCTTTTGCAGCAACGTGAGGGGTGACATTGCGGCAGACTCTAAGTTGCTTTATAAACATAAGTGCATTGACAGCGTCAGGTAAGTCCGCAGTGTGCACAATACTTCACTTAAAAATTACGTCAATCTACCTTGTAATGTTTGACTCAAAGCCGAACAAATGCATCATAGACAGCTACTCACTGACACCTTCCTAGAAAGCTGATAACCACAATGCATCAGATCAGCAGATATTTTAATGGCTACGAACGTTATGAAACCCCCATAAATATTTTTGGTTTTTATTCTAACGGTGATGCGCTTATGTACCATGTCCTGAAGGTTAAATCATTAATAATGTTAAAATAAAGCAATGTGCCAGGGTACGGAAACAAAGGGGGGATATGTTAATTCTTCTCGTTCAGAGTTTTTAGGACGATATTTTAACAGGTCGAATCAATTGACACAACAGACGTTCATTGCAGCCATAGCGCTGAGAAAATGGCAAGTGAGGAAGATGACAGAACATGCGGCGCACCCCTTTTCAGCGTATGGCTTCGATGAACGTAACCGACCAACTAGCCTGGTATGTTTTCTTAAAGGGCGTATAAAGAACCACACGAATGCAATAACTGAACGAGTCGTCATAACTTGAGAGGAACTTGACCTGCGCCGTTGGATAAATGGTACGTGTTTCTATATCCCGTTCGTGATATATTTGACATCTTTTCGTTACTCTATTATTTATTTATGTGGTTATGACACGCAAAACGCATGTCAATACTCGCCGCTGCCCACGTGTGCCGTTTACGTATCACTCACTTGCTTTGTGCCGCACCCCTTGAGCGGTATTCTGAGCTCGTAGTACTTCCTCCCGTCGCCGTAGAACTTGCAGGGACTGGTCTTGTCATAGTCCACGTACGTAATGCCACGGAAAGGCTCGCTGAAGTTGATTTTGACCACCATCTCTCCGGATGCGCATGACAGGTACGCTGAAAAGAGGCGAAGCATCGAGTGTGAAACGCGGTGCATCTCTCTCATGAAATTATTGCATAGGTAGCCATGGCACTTTCTTTCTCCTCGCGACAACTTTGCCGTCCAAACCACTTAGTTTAAAGTGTATGTGGTACAAATAAACTCATAGTCAACGCGCAATCCGCTTGCCGGCCTTGCGGATTGCGCGTTCGTGAATGCCTGCCGGTGCTCGACCCCCCACAGCTGTCAGCTTCGACGGACGCATCAACTGGCAGCTGTATAAGGAGCTGGATCTTCGGCCGCCCCTTTGGTAGGCATGGGACTTCGGCAAAGATGTGCCCGCATCTGGCACCCTTCTGTTATGTTGTGCTGATTTCGACCGTCATTGCCTCATCTACCAGTCTTTTTCCCGGAGCCGCGTCTGCGCACCCGGTAGCGTTCTTGGACACGCGCTTCAATCAAACCATGCGATCACCTGACTTTCCCGCTTGCCAGCCTTCCGGTTTGCGCGTTCGTGAATGCCTGCCGGTGCTCGACCCTCCACAGTTATCAGCATCGACGGATGCATCAACTGGCAGCTATATAAGGAGCTGGATCTTCGGCCGCCCCTTTAGTGGGCATGGAACTTCGGCAAAGATGTATACGCATCTGACACCCTTCTGTTATATTGTGCAGGTTAGTTCACCGGTTTCCCTCTATGCTAAAAAAACAAATAACATTTGTTTGCTGATGCTTCCATGCCCACAAGTTTTGCTTATGTCCATTTGTGAGTGCGTTCATGTCGTTAGGCTTCTGGCTATGTCCGGCGATGTTGAGGAAAACCCGGGCCCGCCAAAAGAAGATACGGGGAAGCAATACAACGAGTTAATCTCGTTGATTAAGGGGCTGCACTCTAAGATAGACGCAAAACACGAAGAACTTATGGAATCCATTAACGAAGTTAGAGAAGCGCAAGTGTCTCTTGAACAAAAAGTGGCAGAATTAGACAACCGATTATGCGCAGTTGAGGAATGTGTCCGGGTCTCAGACAGCGAGCCGAATCGTCAACGGGTACCGGAGGTACTTTCGGTTAACAAGCGCCTTGACGAACTTGAAGATCATTCTCGCCGAGAAAACTTGATTTTTTATGGAATAGAAGATTGCGATTCGGAAACGTGGGCGCAATCAGAAGAAAAAATTTGCCAAATCCTCAATGAAACTCTGAAGCTAAACTTGGGAAGTAGCGACGACCGCATATCCCGCGCGCACAGGCTAGGCAGATTTGTAGTTGGCAAATCTTGACCAGTGATCGTAAAATTTGCTTCTTTTAAGTTCCGAGAAAGCATACTGCAGTCTAGAAGTAGTTTTCGCGAGTCTCATGTGTCAATCAGCGAGGATTTCTGCCGCGCAACAAGAAGCGTGCGCAAGAAGCTTTTTGAATTCGGCAGGGCGAGTGGCGAGAAGTATACCGTCAAGTACAATAAGCTTTACATCAACAAAAAGTGCTTTGTGTTCTCTCCGGTGACCGACAGCGTTTGTGAGCTGCATACAAATGCGCAGAACTCATCAGAAGCTTCGTCCTCCGCTACGCATGCCGACGAAGATACGCTCTTATCCTAACAAAGTTCACCCCTCGGCTACTTATCGTAACTACTCAGTTTTATATTCTAACGTACGAAGTGTTCTTAACAAACGGGATGCATTATCTTCAATTTTTGATGACTGCGCCACCGATGTTGTAGTGTTAACGGAAACCTGGCTTACCCCTAACATTGCAAGTGTAGAGCTGTTCGATTGTGAAAATAATTATACCATTTACAGATGTGATAGAGAAGAATCGCCAGGAGGTGGTGTACTTATAGCCGTAGCTGATTATATAGTTTCTAGCCATATAGTAATAGCATCACCTTTAGAATTTGTCTGTGTTTCCCTCCATGTCAACTATCAAAGTGTCATATTTTGTGGCTGTTACCGCCCTCCGAGTGCGACGCCAGAGTTTTGCGAGCAACTGCATGATGCTTTGAATGATATTGTCAAAAGGCACCCGCATACACTTGTTTTTATTCTAGGCGATTTTAACTACCCGAAAATAAACTGGTCACTTCCTTCCTGTTCATTAAGCTCACTTTCCGCCGACAGTTTACATTTCGTGGAACTGTGCGAAGACTTTAACCTTACCCAACTCGTAACGCAACCAACAAGAATGGGCCCCAATTCATCAAATGTTCTTGATCTGATTCTCACCACTGTACCTGACCTTGTCCATTCTATTTCATATATCCCAGGCATAAGTGACCATTGTTTCGTGCACTTCAATCTAACAGGTTCATTAAGGCGTCGGTCAAACAATTGCAAAACAATAAGAGACTACTCACGCGGCGATTATGACTCAATCAACAGTGAACTCGAATCGAATTTTGAGAGCTTTGCTGATGGCTTCTTTGATCGCAGCGTTCAACAAAACTGGAACTTGTTCAAAATGAAAGTTGAATCTTTAATCACGCGATACATTCCCACATACGTTATCAAGGGTCGCCAACGCCCCCCTTGGTTCTCAACTGACTTAAAAAAATTGCGGAATAAAAAGAAACGGTTGTTCCGTCAGGCAAAGCAGACTAATTCGTTAGCCCGTTGGCACGTGTACAAATCTGTCCTTTCCGAATACAGAGCAGCTATCAAGGAAGCCAAGCGCGTTTTTCTTAATGATACCCTTCCTTCAATTCTTGTAACCAACCCTTCTAAGTTTTGGAAAACTGTTAAACCTAGGGAAAAGATAAACATTTCGCTTACGAACTCAAATGAGCAGCCAGTTCGCTGTGAAGAGTGTTGCATTGCATTAAATGATTTTTTTGTTACTTCTTTTTCAAGTTGTTCTGCTTCAGCGTTGCCGCAAATGCCTAGTCGTGATTTTTTACCCATGTATCCTGTTACCGTTGATGCCGTTGGAGTGCAAAATTTAATTCACAAGCTTAAGTTATCCTCTTCTTGTGGCGTAGATGAAATCAACTCAAAGTTTCTAAAAAACACTGCATTGTATTCATCAATTTACTTGTCCTTAATCTTTTCGCAATCTATTCAGACCTCCACTTTGCCGCTTGACTGGAAGGTGGGGAAGGTGGTCCCTCTGCACAAATCTGGTAACACACAGTCTCCTCTCAATTACAGACCAATTTCCCTAACCAGTGTTCCTTGTAAAATGTTAGAACATATAATTTACTCCAACCTTGTCTCATTCCTAGAATCAAATTCTTTTTTTACTCCCTACCAGCACGGATTCCGAAAAAGTTACTCATGTGAAACCCAACTTCTTTATTTTACTAATGACATAGGATCGGCTCTAGATCGCGGCTCACTTGTGCATTGCATTTTTCTTGACTTTCAAAAAGCTTTCGATAAAGTACCTCACCAATTACTCCTCCTGAAAATTAGTGCCTTAAATATTGACCCGAACATTCTTAAATGGATTGAATGCTTTCTGACTAATCGCACTCAGTTTGTAACAACTAATGGCTATAACTCACCTCTTTCTAAAGTAACATCCAGCGTACCCCAAGGTTCCGTATTAGGCCCTTTACTCTTTCTTATATATATTAATGATCTCCCAGACAGCATTAACTCCGCTATAAGGTTATTTGCAGATGATTGTGTAATTTACCGCGAAATAAACAATGAATATGATAACCAATTTCTACAGTGAGACCTTGACACTGTCTCAACCTGGTGCAATAAATGGCTTATGACTCTCAACTCTAACAAATCTAAATGCATGTCAATAACCCGGCGATCTATTTCTCCCCCCTGTACCTACAGAATTAACGCCGTTCCCCTCCAGCATGTCTCTTCATATAAGTACCTCGGCGTTTACATTACCAACAATCTATCTTGGCACACGCATGTTACCTACATCTGTAATAACGCTAACCGAACGCTAGGATACTTACGCCGCAACTTTTCTCGCGCTCCGCTGTCCCTCAAAATTCTATTATACCGATCACTAATTCGCCCAAAGCTTGAGTACGCGTCCGCTATATGGGATCCCGTGCAGCAAAATTTAATTAACGCGTTAGAATCTGTTCAGAACCGCTCAGTTCGGTTCATTTGTTCTAATTATTCCCGTACTGCTAGCATATCAGAAATGAAATCTAACCTTGACCTACCCAATTTAACTGTCCGGAGGAAACTGGCGCGACTGCATTTTTTTCATAAGATATTTTTTCACAATCCATCAATGAAGCGAGACCTCATTTCACAACCGTCATACCACTCATCGCGCATTGATCATCAACATAAGGTTGCCATTCCGTTTTGCCGCACCAAATTCTTTTCAGCAGCCTTCTTACCGAATCAGCCGCCGATTGGAACCACCTTCCCTCTTCCGTTGTATCAATAACAGACCCTTTGTTATTCAAGACTGCAATTTCTCAGCAATGCTTGTAACTATACGCAGTTTCCATTATCTATCTTTGTCTTGTATGTGCTTGAATTCTTATACATTTTTAGTTGACTTATGTTGCCTTCCTGATTTGCGCATCTGATACTTGTTTCTTTATTTTGTCTTTTTTCTTGTGTGTTATATATGTTGTACCCACCCCCTCTGTAATGCCCTACGGGCCCTGAGGGTATTCTAATAAATAAATAAATAAATAAATAAATAAATAAATAAATAAATAAATAAATAAATAAATAAATACTCTAACTCAAACACGTACAAGAGGGCCTAAATAAAAAGGTATTCAAGTTGCTCGGCATCCTAAAGATGCCATCGATAGACGTAATAAGGTAAGTTTCGAAAATGTTTATTGAGTTCAAATGGCTAGTTTATTAGAATATACTGGCACTAAAGCTCGTTTCAGGCTGTAAGTCAAGACTGAATTACAATCCTGTGGGTACCATTTCCGAGGCTGCAAAAGAACATTGAAGAATGTTATTGCATATTTGGTGTTCGACTACGCCGTGCATGCGCCTCGCTAAGCTCGCCGTTAGGCCTACCGTCAAGCGAGGAGGAGCGACCTCCGAAGCCTATACCGGCGCCGGCTCGCTGAAACTGCGGCAGCGGCGCTATGACGATGAAGTGAGTGGCACGGATGCCAATCCGACACAATTGGAAGGCTCGGTCTGGGGGAAGAAAATGTTGAGGCATGTCGCAGTTCTGCAGCAGCGTCAAGGATAAGAACGCAATTGCGCCATCCAGATGACCGCTCACAGCGGCGGAAGCGAATAATACGACAGGACGATGCCAGCCGGCTTGAAAGGCGACAAGTATGGCGTCAGAAAGAGACCCTTACTTAATGCCACAGCAAGGAAGCTCTCGGAGGAACCAAGAAACCAACGGCATCACACGAATGCTTAACAAGAAACATAAAAAGTCAGGAGGCCTCTTCCAAGGGCGATGGTAAAGGTTCATCATATTAAAAAAATTGCCCCCTCCTCCCGGACTCGAATCGAGGGGAAATGCGAGTGCATTTCTTGCGCCGAGAGTACACGGCGTAGTAATTTTTATGGCGTAAGTTAATGACAAGACGAGGATTCGTACCGTAACCATTCATTTACACATTCATCACCCAGCGAACGGTCGATAGCGAGGCGCGCGCTTCACAGCGTTTACACATACGCATGAGCGAGCCGACGGGAGAGTGGGACACAGGGAGGAGAGAGAACGAACGGCGGGAAAAGGAGCGCTGAGGCACTGCACCTACCGTGGAGGAAGGAAAAACACAGGAGAGAAAGCATGACGTCACGTACCCAGCCTTGGCAAGCCAACTCATTTTGAAGCTATCAAAGTCGGCCCAACACGTGACTTTTTGCCGTGAGATCACGCAATAAACCAGACTTGCCGATACCTCGGAGTACGGCGCCCGGTAGGTTTTATCGAAACGCGCTGGTTCAGCGCAGACTGGCTGGCTCACGCAGGTGCTTCAAAGGCGGCACAGTACCAAGAGTACTAAAAGCTACCGCAAGCTCTGACGTTTTGATCACGTGTTGAGCCGACAAGGTGGACTTCACTCATGTGACGCAATGCTTTCTGTTTCTTCCTCCATGGCACCTACCCTCTCCTACTCTGCCTCCACACACGCGGGTGCTCCGCCGAGATTCCGCGATGCGAGCGATGTCACACGCCAGAGAGCGATTCTCTTGTCCACTCACTCTCCACTACTTCGCCCCCACTACCTGTCCCGGTTGCTAGGGGCGAGGATAAGTGCGCGCGCCCACAGCTGTTGCTATGGCAGAGGAAGTGAGAGCGCAGAGATAACACCTGCCGGCACGCAGACGCCGCCGGACGCCTGACATAGCCTGACTAAGATGCATTCGCATAAAAAAAAAACTGAGCAGTAAGCATTTAAGCAGCATAGAGACTTTCTGCAGCAGCGCACCTATGCATCCACTACGTCCTGTCTAAAGCACCAGCTACTGTTGCCCGATGCGGCCGGTCTCTGCTACAACGTATCCAGATTTTGCATGTTTAGGAAAGATCTGATGCGTCAGTCTAAAATCCCATTACTCGGAAATACTTGAAACGACGACGCGTCACTCTCATGTTTTTATTGGCGGACGCCTACCTCTGGTGCGGTTGGTGAGGATCTCGCTGCTGAATTCGTCCGCGACCGCCTTGTGCACCACGTTCTCCACGTGGCTGTCGTCGCGGACGCCCTCCTGGCAGCGGCCGAATGGCGCCAGCTGAAAAGGAAGAAGAGATCAATCGAGTGCACTGAACACCGTGTGACATAGCGGCCGAAAACCGCGCATATTCATCATGTCAATCAATGCACGTATACAGCTGTACACACCAGCATAGCGAATCGCTATAGTATCAGCTTGTCAACTCCGCGGTGCTTTGCAGACGGCAAAAGAAAAAAAATAATCATTTTCCCTCACTCATCGTTAAACTACATTTCCTATTCATAGCGTGCAACTCTGGGCAGCCTACACTTGTGGCAACTGACGTGGCGCTGGTTCACAATATTTCCGCTGATTTAGCACGGACTATTTGTAAACATTTCTTTGCGAATGCTCAGTAATGAATTAACAGCTTTCGCGCATCAGAAATGAATAAACATCGCTGTCCAACTATGGTTTCTTGTAACCTAAAAATAAATGAAACCTCACCCAGCAGCACTTTCTGTCTCACCCTGTCCAATTGCGTTTGCCAATTTCCATGACGTCAAGGCCGTGTCTCCTGTTTCAGGAAGTAGATTTTACTGCCACTGGTTTTTGGTGGAAAAGTTAAAGTTACTGGCGAAATTCAGCGAACATTCGGACGCTCGGGGAAAGACGCACGACGAACTTTTAATGAGTGCTGTGCCTACAGTTTGTATCAGTAGCGCCGAAGTCCTCGTGGTCAAGAACGAAAAGCACCCAGCACGACTGTCGAGAGCAGACAAATCGCAAAGAATCTGGAGGCGGTCCTTCCACCTATCCTCAGGCTGTGACAGTCCAGTTTACCTCCGCGCGTTTTACACTTGCAGGCTTTCGCAGCGTCACTTGCTCTGTCGCTCAATTCGCGAGAAAATTTACGAGAACTAGAACTTTGCAAAGTGATAAGCTAACTTCACGCGCTGTGTCTACATCATTTCCCGCTATTTCAAAGAATTACTTATTCGATTGATATGCGGGGCTTAACGTCCCAAAACCACCATATGATTATGAGAGACGCCGTAGTGGAGGGCTCCGGAAATTTCGACCACCTGGGGTTCTCTAACGTGCACCCAAATCTGAGCACACGGACCTACAGCATTTTCGCCTCCATCGGAAATGCAGCTGCCGCAGCCGCGATTCGATTACGTGACCTGCAAGTCAGCAGCCCGCAGGTCACTAGACTACAGCGGCGGGGCAAAACGACAGTCTACCGGATGCACTCGCAGTGTATTACGAGCGCTCTCGCCCACGCCGCCATTCTCACCAGCCACGCGCTCCGAGTACCAACCAACGAGTACTAAAGTAAAAACGCCATTAGAAATGCAGGCGACTATGCAGCCAGCTGAGACGACAGTAAGAAGACATGAAATCTGGAGCAGCGACGCATTCGCAGCTGTTGTGCAATAATAATAATAATAATAATAATAATAATAATAATAATAATAATAATAATAATAATAATAATAATATTAATAATAATAATAATAATAATAATAATAATAATAATAATAATAATAATAATAATAATAATAATAATAATAATAATAATAATAATAATAATAATAATCCTAGTGCAATATAAACGACGATTGAAGTTCTTGATTTCCACTTATATCTCAATACTGTGAATGGCTGGTGTCGGAAATGACAAAGTTTGGCGAGCGTGGTCACTCAAACACGGATTTACACATTTTCAATCAAGTTTCCCTTTTGGGCTCAAACATAGCAGGATCACATCAAATTTCAAGAAGGGTGTTGACCGCTCTCTAATTTCCATTTACCGCCGCATCTGTGTGTTACCATCATTCAGCAAAGTTATTGAAAAGCGTTTTGCTAATTAATAAACACAATTTACTATTCTCTCACCACTATAGTACGCCTTTCGCCAATGGTACTCGACTGAACTCGTTCTGCACTGACAGGTGAATGGAAACTTGAGATTGACGAGGATCAGTACACTGCTTCGGTATTCATAGACTTAACTAGGGCTTTTGAGAAAATAAATTCTTAAAATATTCTTGCAGAGGCTTCAATAGTTAAGAATTACTGGACCAGACTTACTTTTGCTGCAACACTACTTAAAAGCCACGATAGATGTAGTAACTATTTTAAGGTATTATTCGAAAACAATGTTCAACGACACTGGAGTGCTCCAAGGTTTCATACTAGGCCCTCTCCTGTTTTCTTATATGTGAATGACTTGACGAACTGTCTCTCCGTTTCTAAATGTATAATTCATGCCGACGACACCACTGTCATCAACGAAGACTTACAACACTCACGTCGAACACCAACAAAGACGTGCAAAATAAACTCGGATGGTGAGAAAATAACAAATTATACAAGAACGCATCGAAAACAAAATTCGTTTTATTCCCGTCAAACCACTTGGCACTTCCCGGAACCGCTCCTTTATTTCTTCGATCGACTTCTATTCCAACAAGTTCATTTTGTAATTATCTAAGTGATACGTATCCAATCATGACATTTTATTATGGTTGTACTTTTCATTTGTCCATTCACACATTAACCACTGCATTACGTGTTGGGAAAGTACATTACAAGTACTTCAAAACCAAGCTACTGCCATAATTACGTTTAGCGCTTTTAATCATAAAGCCATGTATCTTTCACAATCTATCCGCACGTTTTCAGTTTCGAAACTGGTTATGTATAGCCTTATCAAATTCTTGTTCAATGAAATTAACTTCAGGCGATGCGACAGCGTTTACTTCAATCATATATAACAAATAATATTACATCAAGGTTTGCACACAAAAACAGCTTTGTCTTACCTAAACTAAGTTTTAATTATGGCAAGCAGAGTTTTCTTTTCTCATCTTTCACTGTTTGGAATTTCAAACCCATTAAAAAAAAACTAAACATTCATAAAAACAAAACTAATCGTAAAATTATAATATTTTAATGTCGAAATTGTAGGTATTTTTGTAACCTTGTTCATTGAGTATTGTTTCTTTCTTTCTTTCTTTATTCAATACTGCAGACCTTGTACAGATCCAAGCAGGGTGGGGGAAGAATAAAACAACAACAAAACGGAGCAAACAAGTATAGTCATGCAATTACAATGAGCAATGATCCCAATGCGCTTAAATGCTACAATGAATCATTCCAGTCTGTTACGGTGCGGGGAAAAAAAGAAAATTTGAAATTTTTATCGATGACCTCGTTGTAGCTACTTTGTATGCACTTTTTTCCAGTTTAATCTGTTTCTGTTGAACTTTAATCTTTTCCGTTTTCACGTTTTCTAATGAGTATGTATTACATGCTGTAACCAATATTGCCTATTTATTTTGAAAAGGAGGTCCCTCTGCAGTTTTTGACATCAATACCTCCTTCTATTATTTTATCACTATGTAACCTTTCTACTATTTACATTATTATTGATTCTGACATGAAGAACAACTCGAACGAAAGAAATTAGCAACTCAGTGTTTGCGATGCCCATAACTGAATAAAATTTGCATAAAAAACTCTGGAGTTATTAGGTATATGGAAGTGGTTATTATTGGTTGGCTCTAGGGGCGTAGACATTCATTTTTTTCGGGGGGAGGGGGGCACTTTTTTGAAATGTTAATTTTTTTGCTCTGTATACCATGACGAGGCGCAAGGTTTGTTCGAAACGTGATCGAGATGGGCCTGTGGTTCCATCCGGCTGTGGTTTTGAGCTTCTGCATTGGCGAAACCAAATGGGTAGGCTTGGGGAAGGGGGCGGATTCATCGATGAAAAACTTTTTTTGGTGTTTTAGGGTGTGCGTAGATAGCGCACAATTTGTTGCGTATACCCCTTCCATCACTTTTTCGCCGTGGTGTTTACACTGTCAATCAGCAGCGAAGGCTACTTCCTTTCGTAGTGGTTAAGGTTATGACTTTCCTCTGCTGCTCAATATTTCTGTTAAGGCTTTCTTTTTTGTTTTCGGAGTGCACACTGCCTCACAGTAGGGATATCATTTTTTTTAGATGACCTCCTGTGTTCTTTTTTGGTGCACAGCAGCTTCACTTGGGCAGAAGCTTCTTGGTGAAGTTGTGCGCACCTCTTTCGTACGATTTTGGTTTAAGCGGCAATTCGTATCCTTCCACTCACGCAATCTACAACAGAGCAAACTGACCCTGTGGACTGCACAGGCGAATATAATGAGTCCCCACGCTAGTTTCCTCTGCGTAAAAGTCACCTCGTTTTGTCAATCTCCATATGGAGATGACTCCTTGAAATGGAACAGACGCGAGGGACAAAAGTGCCAACCCTCAATTTCGCTTTTAAGAACTTTGCCAGCAATGCAAGGCAAAAGATAAGCTAAATGACTCATGTAAGTCGCGTATACCACCACTCTCACGTTCGCGCCCCAGCGTGTGCTTGTCACGGCGCTCATCCAGCACGCTTTCGATCATTCTTCGTCTCCTTCCGCGTTCCCGACCGCGTTGAGAAGAAAAGGCAGCGATCTCGTCTTTCACACGCAACAATTCGAGGTAGCTCTTTCATTTCTTTACACCGTCCTTTTCTCTCTCACATACGTCTCTGGCTGCAGTTACACCACAGGGACAAGACATTGCGTGCTCGAGTGGTGTGCACTAGTAAGCAAGCGTGAACATCATCTGTCATCGTCCACTCGCAACTGGCCGACCACGAAGGAAAATGGCTTCCTCTTGAGTTTCTGCCTTCTATTTATTTTATTTATGCCCCTCACCCCTTTGGTCAAAAACAGTGAGAATACCTCAGCATGCGATAAAGATGACCTTCACGCGCGGACTCATGGCACGAAGTGTGTCCGTGCCCGGTGCAGCCGGCAGCAACTTTCGACAAGCAGTCCAGCGCGGAACAACGCCGCCAACGCCGGCCTGAGCACGCGCTCGTGACGAGCGCGACGCTCGTCCCGTGTGGTTTGGCGTTTTGTCCGCGAGAGGTCACGCGTTGCCTTCCATCGTCTGCGGCCCGTCTTCGTATCGCCGCTGGTGCTCGACCGTGTGCTACGGAGCTAAGCGCACGCAATTGTTCGCGCTGCAGGGAGTCAGCCAAGTCCATGCCG